TGTAGGGACCAATTTAATAAAGATTTACGTACAGGAAGCAAATTGATAATCCACGATACACAGACTAAATTATATTTTTAACCTAAATTTTAATATAAAATAATTATAAAAGCAGAATTCTTTTTATAAATTTAATATTATTCCATTATAACAAATTTTAACAAAACTCATGCATTTCATGCTCCTAGATTTATGTTTTTTAGTCATTGATCTGAATATATGTTTTATTACGTCTTTGTTATTTGCATACACTATGTTTTATTTTTTATCATGAATCTTACTGTTAACGATACAATTTGATTAAAAAAAAATAGACTTATCGAGACACAAATTGTATTTCGATTCAACTAGCATGATTCCCAATGAACAGTAAGTATAAAGAAAAAAGTTCTAATTATTGATCAGAATATTCATGTTCAAGTCACACAGACATATGTACAAGAAAATATAAATAAATAAAAAAATGAATAGAGATTTCTTATATATGACATCATCTTTGTATAACTAACAATGCTGATTTTGCAAGTAAAAGGTAATTAAAAGCTATTTTTTAGGAAAGTAAATCTTGAAAAAGAAAAGTATAAAAATGGCTCTCACAAATTTCCAGGATTCTTCTTGTGCTTTTCCCAAGACAAAAACATGAGACTCTGTGCATTCACTTACATAATAGATATTAGATGAGCATAGGAATATTTAGTGTCAGACCAACCTTCATGTAACAGGACACAGCATAAAATTAAGCGGATAATCATGCGATCCGGATCCTCCGACTTTGAAATATTAATGTTATGGTAATTTAACACATCTCAATCATTGAATTTGTAATAATAGATCAGATTGTGACACGTGTATAAAATATATTTTAATTTAAATATACACGTGTCACAATCTGATTTACTATTACAAATCCAATAATTTAAATGTATAAAGTTACCTTAACTTTTCCCCTTAACTTTTCCCCTCAAAGTCAGGCATCTATTTCCATAATCATGATAATTGATCCAGTGTTTTTAGTCTTGAATAAGCATGTCAGTTCTACAGGAAAATAACTACATTTCAAGGTCTGTCAAATTAGACTCTTTAAGACATGTGTTGTCATATCACCTTTTTATTTTTTGCTTTTAAATAGCCATAAAAAATTGAATGAAAAATTACCTCATACGGTTCAACAGTTGTTCAATCACCTTCTTCTTGATAACTTTGGGGGGTCCAACCATGAATTCATATCCTTCTCTTTGCCTGCAGATGCAATCTTATTTAAAGAACTTGAATAATAATTAGCAAGAAATGAAATATTCATAATATTTACATGTCTTCTATGAGTATGGTGATATGCAAAGTTCCACATCCACTGACAACGAATGCATCTGTTGTTTCACCATCTTCAACTTTCATGACCAGATTACGCTCAAGTTCACGATAAAGCCTGTTCTTAAATTCCTACTAGTAACATACTTCCCCTGAAAGTAACAAATGTGTTTTAGCTGGTCTTTGTGAAAGCACAACTTACAATACTACTAAGAAAGTTGAACCTAATAGCAATCATTGTTCTTATATCCTAACAGACAGCATCAGGATATCCACATGGTAAAAGATAACATAGGTATTTTCTTTTTATGGCTATAAAGCATTAATCTATGGATATACCTCGCAGCCAACAAAAGGTGAAGTGTTTATAGAGATAGACATTTTCACTGTCGGTTCTTCCACCTTGAAGGAAGGTAGTGGCTTCCCAGATACTTTATCAGCAATTGTCTCCCCAATCTGAGTACAGAATTGAAAAGGTCAAAAGGGTCACTCTAGAACATGATTATGCAATTCCACACACTGCCCATATATATTTACCTGAATATCCGCAGGGACCCTATTGAATTTGTCATACCCATAAAACTCACTAATTCATCCAAATCTACATGAATCTTCTGAAGTACATACCTGGAATAAATCAACCAATAAGCAGCATGCTGCTCCAATGTAGAACATTATAAGAATATAGCACTGTACACAAAGAATGTAATTTCCATGGATACATGAGAGATCAAGGCCTCACCCACAATTACCCACTAAATGGGACTCCATACCTACTACCCCTAACCCACCCTCTTTATCTCCTTTTATACTCTCTATTGTATAACTAACTAATTATTACAGTTAGTTAGTATACTGTCTCTCAGAGATTATGATCCCCTGTTACTCACCTACGGCCTACCTTTCCTCACATAGATCTATTTGATGGGAGGTCTCTTACTTTCATAAGCAGTTTAAAATCATCAATTCTACACACAAAATGGTTATATGAAATTGAAACGAAATTAAAATGTAGTTATTACAAAGTTAAAGCTTCACTTATTATGCATAAGAACAAATATTTATCCCAAGTAATACAAAGTCAATGTAAGTAAAAGGTAACATGTTAGCATGGAGGAATTCACAAAATGAAGAACAAAAATAGAGAAAGGAATACTCACTGGGACATCCAAGCCTTTCTATTTTTACTTTGTTTATAAATACCTATAAATAAAAAATAAAATAAAAATTGAATGAGAAATTACCTCATAAACATGGATTGGGTTTGGAGGGGCGCGGATTGCGAAACGCGGAGTCGTTTTGTGGCTTTGATGATTGGAAGGTGGCCTAAACGACGAAGGGTGTTGATGGGTGTGGCACTAGTGGGAGAGGTGAGTGTGAGTGTGAACTTAAAGCACCAATATTAGGAAGGGAGAGAGAATAATTGCATTACAAAAAAAATATTGAAATAGGTTTCGGCTAAGAGCACTCGGGCTTTGCTTATAAGCAACCCTTGTGCCACATCACTACCAAATCAGTTCTGGCTTACTTTATGAGTTGTTTAAATTTTAGCAGAGTTACTTTTATAAGTAACTCTACTAAAATTTAAGCAACTCATAAAATGGGTCAGAACTGATTTGGTAGTGATGTGGTAATTATTTTATAGTGTTTTTAGGAATATATATATATATATATATAATTATAATTATAATATAATTTATATATTTAAAAACATTTATGTATTATAAATTTTAATTAAATAAAATAAACTACACATAAAATATTAGTTTAAGTTAAAAGGAAATAAAAATTAGTAAAAAAACTTATACTATATTTCTAAACTCTTATAATGATCGATATGAGGATTTAACTTAAGTTCCATATTTCTAATTATCTCAAACTTTCCCTATTTAATTACTAGACTAATTTTAGTAGTTACTATATTTCTAAATTCTAATTATAAATTAATATTTTGGCAAAAATATATTTTTCAACCCTTATATTATTTATTAGATTTAATTTAGTCTCACTTTAATTAATTAAATCAATTTAGTCTCACATTTTTAAAATGTATATCAATGTTTGATTTTCCATCTCCTTCGTTTAAATACTTAACGGATATGACACATGTCAAACTATTATGCAACATGACTGGACACGTGATATGATGACATGACACGTGGTATGATGACATGACACGTGACATGACATGTGTTAAATTTGTTAAGTATTTAAATGGAAGAAACGAAAAATTAAACATTGAGATACATTTTAAAAATGTGAAATTAAATTGATTGAATTAATTAAAGTGGAACTAAATTAATATTAGAAAAGAAATATATTTTTGCCTACTATTTTTTAAGAGAAAAAAAATACCCTTAAAAAAGAAAGTGGCTAGGGTGGAAAGAGATGTGATGTGGAGAAAAGTAGTCCGTATAGAGAAACCTTATACATCAGTACTCAGTATCCATTCCTGCGCCACTAAAATTGTAGTCGTAGCTTGGCTACTTGTAATAACAAAAAGAATCGATTAACAGCCTCATACTCGTTTTCCTTCCCCATCCATTTCACAAACTCACTCCAAGAGAGTAGTGAGGGAGCAATGGAGAAGATGGCACCACTCACTACTCACACTATCCACGCCTCTCTCTTCCCCACTCTTCCAAACGCATCGTTTCAACCCTTCTTCTCTAACCAACTACGTGCCCTTCCCCTATCTTCTTCTTCTTCTTCTTCTTTAACCGCCGCCAAACGATTCTCTTCCTCGACTTGCAGGCCCATCAAATGCTCCGTTTCCGAGGCCACTGAGCCCAAAGCTGGTACGCAATTCGCACTCTTCGTAATTTTGACGTGCTCTACCGTTTCTTCTGCATTTTTTTAATTGTAAGGTTTGGTTTTTCGAGATTGATTTCGTGCTTTTGTTTTCGTGTTCTTCTTTTTTATTTGCGACTTAGAGAAGAAGAAGCAATTGCTGAGAAGAGGGGACGTGAGAAACATAGCAATTGTTGCTCACGTTGACCATGGCAAAACTACTCTCGTCGATGCCATGCTTAAACAAACAAAGGTATTATTTTTTAATCATTACATGGAGTATGAGGTAAGGTAAACACTAAAGAGAGTTTAGGCTTAATTATAGTTTTGGTGTTTTAGGACCTGAATGGATAAATTTCTCCAAAAGCATTTTTAGGAGATGAAATTTGGAAGGTAAAATGAAATTAACTTCTTTATAATATAAGTTAAGTAAAGAAAAGTTTTTGGAGAAGTTAATATGAGATAGTTATTTTTACATATTAGCTTATGAGTCTGTTTGGATAAATTTCTCTAAAAGCATTTTTAGGAGCAAAAAATAAGAAGGAAAATCGAAATAAGCTTTTGGATAAGCTAAAACTATCTTATGTATAAGTTACCCATAAGATTTTGGAGAAACTAATCGGAGAGACCTTCTACAAATTAGCTCATTTTAGCTTATGGAGAAGCTATTTTTTCATTCATATATTTCTCTCCTTAAAGTGCTTTTGTATGTTTACCCAAACAGGCCTTCATGCATAAGCTAATTTTAGCTTATGGAGGAGCCAATTTCATTTTTTCTTCCTATTTTTTTTTTTTGAATACAAGTATTTCTAGAGAAATTTATCCAAATAAACCCTTGTTATCACCATTTTGCAAATTTAGTTTTTTTTTCCCACCAATTTCATCTCTTCACTATTTTAATTGCAATTTTGGTCTATCCAATATTTAACAAAAAGCCAACTTGACAGTGCAGTAGAATATGATTTAGTGCCTACTTGTTTTTGAGTTTGGTAGATTTGATTTTGAACTATTAGCGTAAATGGAATGTGTTTCAAAATTAATATCAGGTACACATTTTATATTGGAACACATGTCATGGGGAAGGAGTGGATGTTGTTGATATGATGTGCGTTTGTTGAATTTTGTGCAGGTATTTCGTGATAATCAATTTGTTCAGGAAAGGATTATGGACTCGAATGATTTGGAGCGTGAGAGAGGCATCACAATACTGAGTAAAAATACATCTGTCACCTATAAAGACACAAAGATTAATATAATAGACACTCCTGGTCACTCTGATTTTGGGGGTGAAGTGGAGCGCATCTTAAATATGGTGGAAGGAATCCTTCTAGTGGTACTCCTACTCTTTTGCCATTTCCTTGATGTTCATCATGCATATTTTTGCACCATTGATCATGATGACTGATATTGACTATTAGCAACTACTCAAAGCTGCTTGTTACATTTATTAGCTAAGTTTTCGCTCATGCAATTCTTCTTCACTTTGCTCCATTTCTTTTGGGTATTTTTGACCACGGGAAAACGGGGTGGTAGGTAGTGGCTTCACCACTTCCTCAACACAGGTCTCTAACATAAACTAGTTTCAACTGCAAGAACACACAGGCTTTGAAGAAACTGATGCATTTTATTTTGAAGAAGAAACTCATCTAACTTGCAGTCTAAATAAATGATTAATTTTATTCTCTCCTTTCATGTCTTATGCCTAACATATTGTCAATATTGGTTTTGAATTTAAAACAAATTTTAAATTCGTCACCATTTTATTCTTTACTACTCAGATTGTACAAGTATATCCTTATTCTTTGGGGGATATTATATCTTCAACAATGATAACTTGTTTTCCTTAATTATAAAACTTGTTATACTTGCTCTCTAATATAAATACTACATTTGCTTTCCTGGAATGCCGCTTCTTGTAATATGTAGTGTTTATCATGCTGCTCTTTGTTTTCGTAGGTAGATTCTGTTGAAGGGCCGATGCCACAGACAAGATTTGTCTTAAAGAAGGCTTTAGAGTTTGGTCATTCTGTTGTCGTGGTTGTGAATAAAATAGATAGGCCTTCAGCTCGGCCCGATTTCGTTGTCAACTCTACTTTTGAACTCTTCATTGAACTAAATGCAACAGATGAACAGGTATGCCAGTGATCATATAACTTAAAATAGTTGTGATTTTATTTGTTGTTTTCAAATTGGGTTGGAGCTTGTAAGTTTATCAGTAGCCGAAACTCTACTGTGATTTCTAATTCCCAATGATCTGTAGGAAATTTATAAAAATATCTCCTAGATTTTGAATGCTGTCTGCTGGTAAATTCAAACATATCATTGGTGTTTGAAGGGTTAGAACTGTTTCAATATTATGAAAGATAGTATTTGGTAAGCATCATAGCTATGTAATGTTTTTTCTGCTTGCAGTGTGACTTTCAAGTAATATATGCAAGTGGTATAAAAGGGCAAGCAGGGCTGTCTCCTGAAAATCTGGCAGAAGACCTTGGTCCATTGTTTGAATCCATCATTAGATGCATCCCTGGACCACGCATTGTCAAAGACGGTGCACTTCAAATGCTTGTTAGTAGTTCCTAATTATGTTGCTTCTTATTTATTTTTTCTATTGGTTTATTTTTATATAATGTTTAGCATATTTTTGTTCCTACTAATTTACCAATTTGGGAAACAGAAACAGAAGAAGCAGACCATTTTATTTTGTTAGAAAATGCACAATGACAATCCTGTCTAGTCTCTACTTAACCTGGATAGTGCCATTTTCTGTATCTAACATGGTCATTTATGAAGTTTGTAGGATCTACTTCGCAGCCATTATAATTTGTAACAGGGCATAAAATAATTCAATTACTAGACAAATCTTACTACTAAACTTATTAATGACCACATTTGAGCGAGGGAACAAGATCTAACTTTTAGTCTTTCCAAATGCTTATTTGTCAACTAGGTTACAAATATTGAGTATGATGAACATAAAGGGCGTATAGCAATTGGGCGTGTGCAAGCAGGAACTTTAGAAAAAGGCTTGGATGTCCGAGTGAGTATTCCTTTCCCTTTATTTTGTTCTTCATTTTTGTGAATTCCTCCATGCTGACATGTTACCTTTTACTTACATTGGGATAAATATTTGTCTTTTTGCATAATAAGTGAAGCTTTAACTTTATAACAACTACATTTTAATTTGAAGTCTCAAACTCACTTCTCTAACTCTTATTTTTTATTTTTGGGGGAGGGAGAGTAGAGATTATTGGGGACTTCATTTCAATTTTATATATAATTTTTGTGTGTGGAGTTGATGGTTTTAATCTGCTTATGAAAGTAAGAGACCTTCCATCAAATAGATCTATGTAAGGAGAGGTAGGCCATAGGTGAGTAACAAGGGATCATTGTCTCTGAGAAACAGTATACTAACTAACTGTAATAATTAGTTAGTTATGACAACAATAGAGAATATAAATTGAGATAAAGAGTGTGGGTTAGGGGTAAGGAGTCTTATTGAGTGGGTAATTGTGGGAGAGGCCTTGATCTGTCATGTATCCATGGAAATTACATTCTTTGTGTAGAGTGCTATATTCTTATAATGTTCTATATTGGAGCAGCATACCACTTATTGATTGATTTATTCCAGGTATGTACTTCAGAAGATTCATGTAGATTTGGAAGAATAAGTGAGCTTTATGTGTATGACAAATTCAATAGGGTCCCTGCAGATAGTGTGGAGGCTGGTGATATATGTGCAGTGTGTGGAATTACTGATATTCAGGTAAAGATTGAAGGTTTTGGATAAAGTGCATAATCATGTATTAGAGTGACCTTTTTGACTTTTACATTTCTGTACTCAGATTGGGGAGACAATTGCTGATAAAGTATCTGGGAAGCCACTACCTTCCATCAAAGTGGAAGAACCGACAGTGAAAATGTCTTTCTCTATAAACACTTCACCTTTTGTTGGCCGCGAGGTATATCCATAGAGTAATGCTTTATTGCCGTAGAAAAGGAAAGACCTATATTATCTTTTACTATGTGGATATCCTGATGCTGTCTGTTAGGAACAATGCTTGTTATTAGGTTCAGCTTTCTTAGTAGTATTGTAAGTTGTGCTTTCATAGCTAGGTGAGAGACCAGCTAAAACTCATTTGTTACTTTCAGGGAAAGTATGTTACTAGTAGGAATTTAAGGGACAGGCTTTATCGTGAACTTGAGCGTAATCTGGCCATGAAAGTTGAAGATGGTGAAACAGCTGATACTTTTGTTGTCAGTGGACGTGGAACTTTGCATATCACCATACTCATAGAAAATATGTAAATATTATGGATATTTCATTTCTCAACTATTATTCAATTTCAAGTTCTTTAAATAATATTGCATCTGCAGGCGAAGAGAAGGATATGAATTCATGGTTGGACCCCCCAAAGTTATCAACAAGAAGGTGAAAGAACAACTGTTGGAACCGTATGAGGTAATTTGTCATTTAATTTTTTATGGCAATTTAAAAGCAAGAAATAAAAAAGGTGATATGACAACACATGCCTTAAAGAGTCTAATTTGAGTTGACAGACCTTGAAATGTAGTTATTTTCCTGTAGAACTGACATGCTTATTCAAGACAAAAAACACTGGATCAATTATCATGATTAACTGCTTAATTTTATGCTATGTCCTGTTACATGAAGGTTGGTCTGACACTAAATATTCATATGCTCATCTAATATCTTTTATGTAAGTGAATGCATCAGAGTCTCATGTTTTTGTCTTAGGAAAAGCACAGGAAGAATCCTGGAAATTTGTGATAGCCTTTTTTATACTTTTCTTTTTCAAGATTTACTTTCCTAAAAAATAGCTTTTAATTACCTTTTACTTGCAAAATCAACATTGTTGATCATACAAAGATGATGTCATATTAGAAGTCTCTATTCATTATTTTGATATTTTCCTGTACATGACTGTGACTTGAACTTGAACATTCTGATTAAATACTGGAACTTTTTTCTTTCTGCTAACTATTGGAACTGCTAGTTCAAGCTTTGTGCTGTTTGAAAGTTCTAAATCAGAGTTGCCCACTTTCTTCCGAAACAGTTTAAAAAATTGTTTAAATGGGGAAAAATAGAGTCAAAGTATATACATTAGAAATGTAGGATTTCTACCACTTAGATAAGGAAAAAAATGGGATGGGAGGGAAATATTTTGATATAATGCACAGCCAAATATTCTCTCCTCTTGGGTGTGTGGCCCCCCAAAATAATTTATCTTCTATTTTTTATCCTCTATTTCTCTCATTCTCCTTCCTTACATAAGTGAGAACTCTTTACACTTTTTTCTTTCTTTCTACTCTTTTAATCATCCAAACAAGGAAGAGAAATTTTAGTTTCTTTTTCCTTTTTATCCATACAAACAATACATCTTTTTCTACAATATTTCTCTTTTTTCCTTTTTTTTTATCATCCAAACAAGTGAAACAACGGATAAATTTCTTTGCTCATGTATTACATATTAAGAGGAATCGTTGCAGATTGCAACAGTGGAAGTACCTGAAGAGCACATGGGAGCTGTTGTTGAACTTCTTGGCAAGAGACGGGGACAAATGTTTGATATGCAAGGCGTTGGGTGTGTAAATTTCTTTCATTGCTTCTATTTTGAACCTGATACTTTACCACCCGAGTTATACTGTTATGGAAACAAAGCATTGAAGTAAATAAAAATTTCTAAGAGAATCATCATCATGGCAAGGAGTTGGGTGTGTAAATTTCTTTCATTGCTTCTATTTTGAACCTGATACTTTACCACCCGAGTTATACTGTTATGGAAACAAAGCGTTGAAGTAAAGAAAAATTTCTAAGAAAATCATCATCGTGGCAAGGTGTTTTTATTGATAGTGATTTGGGAGTTGTATCTTGTGTTTTGGATTTATAGTATAAATTCACCTAAAAGACATATTGATAATATATTTATTACATGACTATAATAATTGATAAAAGATTCACATTTATTCAGACTTGCTATGGAGTAGTCTCATTTTACTGTTGATTGAATGTTTATTATGGATTTACGGTTGATCGAAGGACACATGGTACTCTATATTTTGCCATGAAGATATTATATGAAGAAAAAAATCATTAACTAACAATTATGACACCAAACATGCAAATTTAATGATAAATTTTCACCTAAACAGTGTATGATCAATGGTTCACTTTTGTATTAATAACGATGGTTAAGTCTGCATGCTGTCCTCTTTCACTAATAAGACCAGAATATGGAAATGAATGCTTTTCTGCTAGACTGAATCTATATTAGGATTTGCCTTCTCTGAAGTACAGGATGTATATGGGTACTCCTTGAATGCCATCTGATTTGTAGCTTTCATCATATGACCTTTTTTTTTTTTTTTTTGAAATTTTGTGGTATTACAGTTGAATATGATAGAACACTAATTCTGAAATTAAAAGGGAAAATTTATTGAATTCAAACTACACAGTGCATAAAGACAGTTCCAGAGCCTAGGGTTCCTACAGTGAATATTTCTCTGTTCAAAGATTGACTTACATCACACATACTCCCTACCTTTCTGAATTACAATATATAATTAATAAAAACTAACTAACTCTCCCCTCTCACAGAAACTGCCATGCACAACAGTTTTTTTCTACAAATAATTGCCTTACATAACACAAACTGCCAGGAACTGCCCTACATAGCAATGCCTGAAGTCTTTTTGTTCTTTTTGGAGTAAACCTTCCAGATTGCTGGTTGGTTTACTTGGACTTTGATTCAACAACTGATCCTCTCCAACCCAATAAAACCGTGGTTCCTACAAGATATAAAGTTTTATTAATGCTAGTCTTCTGTTGTATCTCATTGACTGTTACTGAAAATAAAAACTCTTTCACAATCACTGAATGTCCCAAGTCCAAACTATTATTTTTTGCATATGAATCTATGATGTCTCAAGTGGATTGTTTTATTTATTTTATTTAGGCTCTATGTAGTATCTGAATTTACCTGTATCCTAATATTTTTAGAAATGTATCCCCATGTCGTGCCAATTTTATATCCAATACTCATACTTGTCTCTGTCAGTTTGTAATTCGTGTGTTTGTTATATAAAAATCTACTCGCTTAATTTTGTAAATCATTATTATCAATGGATATGACACTTAATCTCTAAACTCTACAGTGCATCTTATCCTACAGTTTAGAAGATCTCTACTGACTAGACTAACATAGCATTTGATTTATTTCTCTATTAGATCGGAAGGAACTACGCTACTCAAATATAAGATCCCAACGCGTGGCCTTCTTGGATTGCGTAACTCAATTTTAACTGCCTCCCGAGGGACAGCAATTCTCAACACCATCTTTGATAGCTATGGGCCTTGGGCTGGTGACATTAGTACTCGGGATCAAGGCTCACTGGTAATGTCTACATTGATTAGAAGCTTATAAACATTATTATTTGTAGCATGGTACTCAGCAATGCTATTGTTTCCTCCATTCATTAATGATAAAGCTATGGAATCTCAGGTTGCTTTTGAGGATGGAACAAGTACTTCTTACGCAATCTCTAGTTCACAGGAGAGGGGACAGATGTTTATTGGTCCTGGAGTGGATGTTTATAAAGGTCAAATTGTTGGCATTCATCAGCGACCTGGAGACTTGTCCTTGAATGTTTGTAAGAAGAAAGCTGCAACCAACATACGTTCCAACAAGGAACAAACAGGTGACAAGTTGTTCCAGTGCAATTACCTTGTTATCTTATATGAAATACACGTATTAAAATAAAATGGTTTGATACTATTTCTAGTTTCTTAAACGAGCTATTTTTCTTGCTAGTTTCTACTATTTCTTAACTGCTTTCAGAAAGACATTAGAAATAATTCTGATGTGTCTATAGGAGCAACATAGCCTCAATCAGATGTGTGTTTTTTTTGTTCATTTTGGAAATAATATTTCTTTCTTTTATGATTCTTGCTTGAAATAAAAAAATAATAAACTGTTCTTTCAAATTATTATTTTACCATCCGAGTCTCAAGGCACCTATGCGTGGTAATACATTTTAAGGTCCAACACATTACTGTTATGGAACTATACAAAGCTGATGAATAGGCTTTTGGAGTATTGAATTTTGATCATATATTTTACAAGTTCAGTATTTACTATTATTGTGCAACTTAACATTCACTCATGTATAATAGTAGTATGCTAATAGACAATAAGGTTTTAATTTACTTTTCTCTCGTATGCAGTGATTCTTGATACACCATTGGACTATAGTCTGGATGACTGCATTGAATACATCCAAGAAGATGAACTAGTAGAGGTCACCCCAGCAAGCATCCGAATGTGCAAGAATCCAAAAATTACAAATAAGAAAACAAGGTAGACTTTCACTGTGAAGCAGTAACTTGGGAATGCTTTTTGAGGTACTGCTGTTGAAGCCGCATAACTCATTAATGCTGTTGCTGCTAAAGTGATGAAGAAGCAAATCACTATCATTGATGTTATGCCACATATATTTTTTCCAAAACTGCAGGCAGAATAATATAGGAACGGGTTAAAAGCCGTATTCATTATAGCTGTTGTTCACAATCGATTTAAAGGGATGAAGTTACACTGAATTTTGTTTACTTGCTTTGTATAGTCTCCATTTATTAGCCATAAGGAACATGAAGATATTAATTCTTTATCTTATGGTTATTGGTTGGCAAATAGCAATACAACATCCTGGGTTAAATTTTCAGGGAGATTTCTAATGCAGTCTAATTACTTGACCAACCTTACTATATTGTTATGCTGTATTAAGTCTCTTAAGAAGTGACACCCATTGTTATCCTTCGAGAATTAGTAAGTACCCCATTGTTATGCTGTATTAAGTCTCTTAATGTAATGAAAATATTTTTGGTGAGCACAAATTTTACTTTATTTATATTCCTATAATTAAGAAATCAGTAATTCAGGGTTGGCTCAAGGCCCAAGCAGGTAAAGCAAGGGTTTTAGGTCCCTAATTTTTTTTAACATTAATATAATACTATAAAATTAAAAATATTTAATTTTAAAATTACACCTAAAATGATTTTTAATTAAAAATTTAAAATATCCTTAGTAACTGTTAAGTTTATATTGGTACTATAAATACTATTTAATGAATAATAATTTTGAAATTTCTCCTAATCAATAATAATATTTTTTATTTTTTAAAAAAAGATATTAAATAGTTATTTTAATTGGTAAAGGAATCTTATAACTCTAATTTTTTATCTCTTTCTATTATTCATGTCTATCTTTTTTCTTTCTTTTTCTCTGAGTCTTTTTTACTACCCCTTAACTTCTATATTATTCATTCAATTTGAGTTTTTGACATTTAGTTTTGAGTGTCATTAATTCATTATCCAACTGCTACACTATTATTGTGTATTTATGTGCGTGTATCTATTTGGAAGGTTTGAAGGTAAAGGAAATAGGGAAAATCGTATTGAAAGTGTAAAAATTGTAAGATTTCAAACTCCACAAATAAAAAATGATTTATTTAAATTAGTTGAAGTTAGTCATGATCCTTAAATAAAAAGTGAAGTTGATTGTTTAGCAATTTACAAACTTGAAGATTTTGAACTTTTGTTAGGTATGATTATTTGGTATGACATTATTTGGAGTTAACTCTATTAGTAAAAATCTACAATCAAAAGATATGTGCATTAATGAGACCATTAAACAATTAAAAGGTCTTCTTTCATTTTTTGAAACGTATAGAGAAAACGAATTTAAAAATCTATTGATTTTTGCTAAAAAAATTGCTTTTGAAATGGATGTAGAGCTAAGTTTCGTGAAAAACGTATTGGTCGTAGAAGGAAATAATTTGATGAAAGTGTTGAGAATAAAATTATAAAATCACTTCAAGAATCATTTAGAATTAATTATTTTTTTTTGTATATTGTAGATAAAGAAACTACCACACTCCAAAGTAGATTTGAACAATTTAAAATATATGAAGATATTTTTGATTTTTGATTTAGTATTAAAAAATTAAATTCACTGAATTTTATACTTTTGAAAGAAAAATGCCTAAACCTTGAAAAATCTTTGAAACATGAAAATTTGTTGGATCTTGATGGCTTAGATTTATTTTTAGAATTAAATATATTAAAGGAAATTATAAGATTGAAAAATGACAAACCAATTAACATTCTTAATTATATAAAAAGAATAGATTATTTTCCAAATACATATATAACATATAAAACAAATGTCAAAAGAAATAATACAATTGAAATATCATTATTAAAGAAAGAATATGTTAGAGAAAATATCATTAAGTGAATTTTTTTATATTATATTTAATAAAAAAAAGTCTCTGTGTTTTTCTTATAATAAAGAAGAAAAAGGAAGTATTCATTAAACATGTAAAACCTTTGACGGGCAATGCATGAATCTGATCATTAGAATTTAATATAAATACCTTACAACCATCAGTACCTATCTTGTATGTGGGATTTTTTATTCACACTCAGTTTTATTTATATTTTACATTTTTATTATTTTATTTATTTAGTGATAAGTGTTATATATAAAAAATAAATTCTAAAGAAAGTGTTATTTAAACTTTTTAGTATAATTTTTTTATATATATTTCTAATAATACTTTTTAAAAAGTTATTGTTGTGTTATATATTTTTAATAAGTAAAATTAATAATAAAGTTAATTTTTAAAATTATTATTATATTTTATTGATTTATTATTTTTTATTCTATCTAAAATAATCAAGAATGATACTTAGAGAAAACAGTAAAAAAAAAAAAAAAAAAAAAAAAAAAAAAAAAAACCACCGCCTGATTCAACAAAATCGAAGCCAAATATTTGAACTTGTAGAAGAAGAAAAGGCTGCATTATTCTAGAAATTTTAGAAATAATGTGACATTAACGTATAATTTAAAATTATATATATAGATTCAACTTTTGACAACTTCTACTTTTCATTTTTCTTTTAATCAATATCCTTGTCAACTTCAGTTTGTGATTAATGCGATGTTTGGATAAATTAAGCGCGTCATGCTTTTAATATAAGCATCGTATTATTGGAAATTAGAGAAGAAGACAAATTTTTGCTTTGTTTTTTCTCCTTAGAATCATCCTCCAGATTTCTAGAATCAAAGAAAACAAATTTCATCAAAATGTGTAACTTTCAAACACTAAATTCAAATCGTAAAGAGACGTATATATTATTATTTTGATTTTTTAATTTATATATCTAATTTTTTTTAAATAAATGAATATCTTAAACATTTAAATTATATTACAATTTAGATTCATACAAATATTTTTTAAAGATATAAATTATACTTTACTTTAATAGAAAAAATTTCATATAATGATATGTTAAATTATTGTTTTTTACTTCTTGTTGATATTTTAAAATTTCATCTTAAACTAATCTATTTTAATTAGAAAGTAAATGTTATTTTTGTGAAAGATCAAATTCAGATACTATTTAAATGATTTGACATTTAGCATATTAACAAATAATACTCAAATATTAAATTATTTTTAATTATTGATAATTTTTAAAAGAAATATTAAAATTTAATCTAAAAAAATAAAATAAATAAGAGGCAAATTAAAAGAATAAGAAATTAAAGAAAATCTTGAAAATATTTTTTTTTTTTGAAGAAAATGTCTTAAAAACACTGTTATTAATTTTTTTTAAAATGTTTTAATAAAAAAGAAAAAAAATGCTTAGATCTATGTACATTTTTGATCTTTATCACTCCAATTTTTATTTTTTTTCCCTTTCAAAAGTCATCATAGTAACATGATTGGTTTTCTAGAAATTAGTTTCAATAACACGCTAAACTAAGATTCAAAATTTTATTAAAAAGTATTCACATTTAATATTTGATAATGATGTGAAGCAGGATTGTTTCGAAACTAAAATAGAAAAGAAAAAAAAAAAAAAAAAAAAACATGATTGGGAAGAAAAAATAAGCCATCGTGACCATGAACCGTGGACAATTGCTAGAGGCCTATAGTGTAGGGATGGCAAATAAACCCGTACCCGTGGGTAATACCCGAACCCGTCCCGACTTTGACGGGGAATACCCGCTTTGACCGGGTACGGGTACGGGTACGGGTAAAACCCGATAAATTAAATCGGGTACGGGTACGGGTACGGGTATATACTTACCCGCCCCGTCCCCGTCCCCGTCCCCATCCCC